CAATCCACTTCGTGTCTTCAATCAATCATCCGGAGCTGTTTGCAAGCGAGGCGACGGGGAAGATAAACGATTTCTGATACAGTGAACCTCAGCCAATCAGACGACTAATTGCGGGAGAGCCACCTGCTAAACCACCTCTCGGGCTGAAGGGAAGCTGAAGCGCGTGATGTGGAGCCCCGATGTCAACGGGAAATTAGTTTGCACAACAAAGGCTCGTGATTACAGAAATTGCCCTTTTTTTCCAATCTGACTGACAATAAAATAATCCCTCTAATTTAGGAGATAATTGTGCAATTTTTCGGCTTTGGGAAAAAAAAAAGAATAATTGATTTCGGCGAGGGAGGTTGCGGAGAGAGCAGAAGCCCTCCGGGGGGGGAGAGACATGACTTCTAAGTGGAAGAACAAAACAACTTTGGCGTAGTTTGCCGTCTGCTCTCTGGTCTGACCGTCTCTCCGGAACATCGGATGTGTGAAGCGCAGTTTGTCAGGCTCTAACAACAATAAATGGGATGAGTTCCACGGCATACATCTTCCCCCCCGTGTAATGGCTCTGATTTATCGGAGACAGCAGTGTATCATCTATCTCTTGTTTAGGTTCGCATCAGAAACGGAGCCGCGGCCGCGTGACGGATGCAATTAAAGCCTTATCGTCTGGCCGAAACGCCGTCGCTGCAGCTGCATGGAAATGGGAGGCGCGCCGAGGCCCGAGCGCACATCGGCGCACTGTGCAGGAGAAGTAATGGCATTGTTAATTACCGCAGCGCTGCCACCGCTGCCGGACAATATCTCACTCGGTTCCTTCACTCTCTCAGTCACACCTGCCAGTGTGGGAGTGATAAACTGGTTCACCGGGGGGGGGGAGGAGACGGAGCGAGTTCTGCTGCTGTGCTGCCGTGAATGCAAACGCACACGGAGGCTGCAGCAGGTAGCCGCTAAGCTACGAGCTAAGCTAAGCTTACGAGTCCAGAGGTGCATGGCAGCGAGGCCCCATTAAGCATGCTCCTTACACTGTATGTGTCTGCTGTCAGGAAGACGGACGACCGCAAACCTGGAGTGCGTCTGTATCACACGGGCGACGGCGACGCAAACTCCACGAGCTAGTCGGCCAATGCATACATCAAATGTCGCAGGTTTCACTGAGCGCTGCATGACTTCAGCAGGGTTTCACTGTAAAACACTGATTAACAGCACCTCATGTACAGCAGGAGGAATAAAACAACGAGCAGTTTTCTTTTTGTACAAATAATTAGTGGTGCATGATATTATAATTTATGGCCGATATTAAGATTTCTGAAATCGTCGATAACCGATATTACCGATGTCGATATTTAATTTTTGTTCACATCGAAAAATGAGTATAAGTACAGAACATGAAAACTATACAACAGAATAGTCTTCTTTATTACGTGACAAAAGTAAAAGAAATTTAAACATATTTTATTTTTTATATTATTATATTTCTGGAAAAGTTCAGAGCGAGCTGTCTGTCTGTCCGGCCGGAACGATGTCCAGGCTTCTCGCCAGCATTATAACAGAGTAACAGTGTGAATGTAGCGGGAAAATATTTAACAACAAGCGCCGATGTAGTTTCTCTACTATCATCGTCGCTGCTATTCGCTGGCGCATTCGCCGCTAACTGTTAGCAGTATTGGCTAAGACACTCCCACTTTGACACGCTGTCAAAAAATTCTGTCTGGGATGCTGTCATGGAGCCATGTTTCTGTTAAAGCAGACACTCAGCAGTCCCTCCACTCTCTGAGGGTTTCTCTCAGCAAACGTCCAGCTTGTTGTGGAGGGAGCGGACATTGGAGAGCAGGAGGACGGTCCTGCTGGTCTGGAGGGGTTAGCCTTTAGCCTAGCATGGATCCTGCTGGTCTGGAGGGGTTAGCCCTCCAGGCTGGTTTAAATTAAACCTTCCTTCATATCTGAATGTCCCTCAGTTTCCACAGAGCTCTGACCCGTGAGCATCAAAGCTAACGTTAACCACTTAACAAGCTCAGGACTTTCCTGTTGTTGTACAGACATTGCTTTAACAACACCAGTAATTCACTGGATGTTCACTTCCTCACATGCTGGGGGTGCATGAAGACTCTTGTGTTCACTCTTGCAGCCAACAGCAGAACATTTGTTGAGTTTTTTTAGACATTTTACAGCTAGCAGAAGCAGGAAGTGTCTTCTTATATATATTCTGAGCACATTCAAGCTTTAAGACACACAAAACACAATTTTGAAAAACAAAAAAAGGATTTTCATCATATCAGACCTAAAAGTAAAAGAAAAAAGTCTGCAAATGTTAAAAAAACAGAAATAATATAGAAAAAAAGGTCATAATTAAATCAATGTCACTTCAAACTTCTATTTCATTACTCATAGTACTAACAAATACTTTATAAATACCACATTTATGATTTTTTTTTTTTCAATTTTACCTTAATTCACCTTCATGATTAAACAATATTTAAACAGAATACTTAATATTAGGTGTAAAATATGTAACCTGCATTTACAGCTAGTGTTCGTTTCCGCGTTAGAGTCGAGGCAGCAGCTGTTTTTCACGTCCATAAAGTCGGAGGACTCACAGGGAGGGGTCACAGTTAATGCTCGCATAAATCATTACACAGCCTAATGGCTAAACTTGCTGCAATGACTTCTTTCTTTTTTCTTTTTTTAGAAAGACTTGTTGTTTCCATTTGGATCCGAAGGGGGCCTTTAAAATGTGAGGGAGCAGCGGCAAAGTAATTGTTGGTTCTGTGGTCCTGATTAACAGCCCTGTTGATGCTCCCCTCCGAGATACAATATGCTCATTTTGTGCAACGAGGCATAAAAATCCGAATTTATAGCACATTTAATCACGAGCGCCTGAACACTGTTAATTTTGGCTCCTGGTTTTGATTAGTTCAGTGTTTAAATGTGTATTAGTTAATGCAGCCTTTCATTCAACAAGAAATAAAGTCAATTTTTTTTTTCTGTTGTGCATTTTTAATCTGACGCTGTGTTTGTAAAGAAAAAAAAAAACTTTAATTCAGTAAATCAGAAGCTGGATTCACTCACATGTTCACTTAAATGTTTTTTTGAGCATTTTATTATCATAAAAAGCTTAAATTCGTCTTCACTCGCGGCACAGATTACATCTACAGACGAGTCCATTTATTCGTCTCCAATTTGAAATCTATTATTGATCTTGATGCTGCAGCAGCTCCTGCATATCTCATTAGCGCTTATCGCTAAGTGACGGTAAATAATAAGTGTCTTGTTTTTGCCAAGTTATTCAGAAAAACTAAGTGAAAAATGCCCTTTTTTTTAAAGCCAGTTTAGATTAATTTCACTGCTGTGACAGCATCTGATTCACACTGCTTCAGGTATGCGGAGCTGCTTAATTACTGCCACAATTAAATCATTAGGAATCTAAACAGATTTTTCTTTATGAATCATCATCGTTCGAGAAAAGCTGCTTAACGTCTGCGGGGAATATTTGAGCAGTTTGATTGAATAAATTAGTCTTGTTTGCAGTTATTTACTGTTTACTGCGAATCATGAGCAGTAAATAAGAATGGTGACGATTTAAACCTTAAATATTCTGATTTAACTCGTTTCACAGCTGTAGCGTTTGACAGGAACAATAAATTATGTGCAAATGGCAGCAAAAGCCAACAACCGAACACTGATGTTAGCATCCTGTAGGCTAACCGCAGATGCTACAGAAAGCTCCTAGTAATTAAAAGATGTGTTAAAATCATAGGCTGAGATTATTTATAATCTGATTCAACATATTGATCACAATCATTTCAATCTGTTGTGTTCAAATATTTTGATAATGACCATTCATTGATTTTAGGAATAAACTATTTTATAGCACAGCTCCATTTTCGCTTCTACGTCGCGCTACATTCCTGCTAATGTGCAAATCTGCATAAACGTCCGACCTCACCAGAATTCAGAGCATCTCCTGCACGCTAAACATGAAAAAAACTGTACTTTAAACTCCTGATTTGCTCAATATGTATTAATGGAGACATGTCATTTACCGATGTTCCCTAAACGCCTCACGTGCAGACGCTGGCTGGTCGGCTGTGCACGGAGAAGCTTCTAGTCTCCGGGTAACAGTGAATGCAGCGGAACAACTTTAACGAATTACTGGGATTTGTAATATCCAAATGAAAAATCATATTAATGCGACTCATTTGAGTTGGATTGACTTAAATCCTGTGATAACAGTTTGAATTACAAGTCGTGCAGCGCCCAGCAGAAAAACAATAAGTAACGCATTACTGACAAATACACTTTTTATGGTGACCAAAAATGAGTTTGAAAAGAGTCAAATAATGCGTCAGGTTTACCCAATTTCAATTTCTATGAATTTCTATGAATCTATCAACTATTTAACCCCATGAACTCTGCACTCGTCTTATTTTTCCTAATTTTCTCTGCAAAATAAAGTCCTGCACCGTCATGGAAACAGAACAACCATGAAGACGGAGGGAGAACTCAGAAAATGTGCAGTCAGAATGCCATAAAATACAAAAAAACACGATCTATGACCTTATAACTGTGGTTTAGTGCACAATACATATTGTGTCTCTGATCTTCGTGGTTGTTGGACTTTATATTGCAGAAAAAAATGAACCCACAGTGAGGAAAAATGAGACAAGAGCAAAAACAAACCCGACATTGAACTGTTTGTTTCCACTGTTTTGTTGGAGTTTGGTTCTTAACTCGTCCGGTGGAGAAGATAAATCTACTCCTGCGTGTGAGATAAAGCATTTGTGCGTCTTTACAACTCAAAGGTTTTATTACCTGTGAAAAAAAACAAGAAGTAATCAACACATGATTTTTTTTTTTGCAGTTTTTTGTTGGGAAAAAATAAACTCCATGTGCTGACGCATGCATGCTGCCGTGCTTTATGGCGGGACCTTAGGAAGCAGTAAAAGAAGTAATAGTCCCACAGATTGAATCAATGAAACCGTAAGGATCCCCGCAGGGGTCTGATCGGTCCTTCCTACCTCGTACAGGTCCAGCATCTGGTTCCCGCCGATGCCCCTGGTGGTCTTGACATTCTCCATGGCCAAGGTGAAGTAGATCCCCCGGGTGTCGGACAGGTAGAGGTTATAGGTGTCGTTCTGGTTCCACTCCTGCACCGCCGCGAACACCTGCTTCTCGTCGGTGCTGACGATGTGTAAATCCTATCGGCGAGGGGGGAGAGATTAAGAGGAGTTATGGCTGCAGGTGGAGAGGTGACGGATCAGAACACGCTGACCCGACCCGGTGGGAGAAGTCATGAGATCAATGCTGCCGTGTGAATGTGAATGCTTGATGACGTGCTGTAAAAAAGTGGGGCTTGAAAAGTTTTACTTAAATCATTTCACTGTCATGGAAACGCGTGACAGACTCTACGACGGACTCCTCCTGAAGTTTAACAGATTTCAGTGTAAAAGCTGCGGCTCACCTTCGGCAGCGAATACTTGGGCAGCTTGATCTGTATGAAGGCGTCTCTCTTGTAGGACACGTAGTAGGTGGCTCGTCCTGATGTGGGAACCTGCAACACGATTGATTAGTTACTGATGACTGGCATCGGTTCAAACTGAACCCCGCTGTTACGCAGGAGCATAATTTGTGACATAAATTTCTTGATCGATAAACACCAGCGTTATCGATCAGTATTCAACTGACTGATTAAACAAATAAAG